CATCATTAAAAAATCTACAAATAACAAATGCTGGAGAGGGTGAGGAGAAAAGGGAACACTTTCACACTGTTGGTGGGAATATAAGTTGGTGCAGCCACTATGGAAAACATTATGGCGGTTCCTTAGAAAACTCAAAATAGAATTACCATATGATCCAGCAATCCCACTCCTGGGCATATACCCAGACAAAACTATAATTGAAAAAGATACATGCACCCCTCTGTTCATAGCAGCACTATTCACAATAGCCAAAACATGGAATCAACCTAAATGTCCATCAACACATGAATGAAGAAAGAAGACGTGGTACATAATATACAATGGAATACTAATCAGCCTTAAAAGAACAAAATAATGCCATTTGCAGCAACATGGACAAAACTAGAGATTATCATACCAAATGAAGTAAGTCAGAAAGAGAAAGACAAATAGCATATGATATCACTTATATGTGGAATCTAAAATATGACACAAACTTATCTACAAAACAGAAACAGACTCACAGACGTAGAGATCAGACTTGTGGTTGCCAAGAGTGGGGAGGGAGAGTGATGGACGGCGAATTTGGGTTGGTAAATGCAAAATATTACGTGTAGAACAGATAAACAACAAGGTCCTACTGTATAGCACAGGGAACTATATCCAATCTCCTGCAATAAACTGTAATAGAAAAGAAAATTATAAAAAGAATGTCTCTATGTGTATAACTGAGGCACTTTGCTGTACAGCAGCAATTGGCATAGCACTGTAAATCAACTCTACTTCAACTTAAAAAAAAGCATAAAACACAATAAAGAAAATGAATATACAGTTATATGCACAATATAACTTGTTTACAGAGAGAAAGATTCAACGTTATAAACATGCTAGTTCTTCCCAAACTGACTGATATATAAAAGCACTGTAATGACAATAAAAATCATGTTGGGATTTTGGGTAATCTGCCAGAAACATTCTTAAGCTCATCTGGAAGAAGAAAAATACTAGAAAATGCCAGGAAAATTGTAAAAAGAAGGAGCAATGAGGAGAAAGAGGCCTACCAGACATTAAATTTAAGTAAATTTAGTACACAATAAGAGTGGCATCTCACACGAGTTAGGAGAAAGAGTATTAAAATATTTAGACAAACTAGCTCACCATCTGCAGAAAGATAAAGCTCAGTTTATTACAAATAACCCTCAGTCCTTTCACCAAAAGAACTTCTAGGTGGAATAAAGATTTAAATATGAAAAATTAAACGATGAAAGTGCTAGAACAACACCTGGGAGAATATATTTATAATGTTGGATTAGTGAAGTCCTTTAAACATAGCAAATGAAGGAGAAGTAGGAGGGGAAAAGAAGAGAGGAGAAGAAAAGAAATAAGAAGCCAAAAGAAAAAGTTCAAACTTATCTACATAAAAATTTAAAACTTTATATGGTCCAAATATATACACATATAGATATAGTCAAAAGCTACAGAACACTAGAGAAAATAACTGCAACACACGACACATTAACACCTACTATCTATCACAGATAAAGGTGCTATTATATATCATTAAAACAGTGGAGGGACACCACAGAAAAATGGTCAAATGAGAGGAATAGACAGGGTGACAGAAGAAGAGTCAGTAAACATTTAAAAGATGCTAACCACACAATTCAAGAAAGTCAAATTAAAACAACAGATATCACTTTTTAACCTTTAAGGTTAGACAAGACAAAAAAAAAAAAGACAGAACTCACATTGGCAAGGTCCACTCATACACTGCTGACAGGGGTACAAACTGATATGGAAAGTTATTTATTCAATTTTAAATTTGCATTCACATTGACACAGCAATTTCAGTTCCAGATGTCTGTCTTACAGAAATACTTTCATGAGTACCCAAAGCTGTTATTTGAGAATATCTCAGCAACATTGTTCACGAAACAGTGGAAACTACCAAAATGCTCAATAGTGGAATGGTTAAATATAGTGCCTGCATGCTACACACTATAAACTCGTTAAAAATAACAAGCTAGGCTATTTACCCTAACATGGTAAGATGACAATAAATTAAGCCAAAAGGGCAAATTGCAAACAGCATGTATAATATGATCTTATTTCTGCACCAAAAAAGATCACATTCTAAATTACTGCTAATCTTTTCGTATTTTACATAAATAACTCTTCTGAAAAAGGTTAACTTCTATTACCGAAAAACCAGGATATTTAGCAGCACGTATTTTCAGCACCACTGACATAAGCTTCTATGAAGGAAAAACCGTCAGACAGAACATACGTAATGTTTTTTAAGGCAACTAAAAATCACCTAACTTGCTTCTGGAGTGATGAGTTACTAGTTCAAAGCTTGAATTGGGAGGAGGGAATTTTATACATTTTTAAGTTTTTTAAATAAGTACTGCATTCAAATGGATTAAATATTCCAAAATTACAAACAGGTATATTGTGAAATTTCTTCCTCCCATCTGCCTCCCCCCAGCAGCTAGCTCTCTCCACAGGCAACCATATTACTAGTTTGGGGGTATCTTTCTGAAATATTCTACGCACATACAAGCAAATGAGTACATAGTTTTCTTTTTTAACCAAATTTTATGCCCTTTATTTTATTCTTAATAATTAACTTGTAATAATCTATACTCGAAAATAATCTGAAATATATATATATATATATAACTGGAAAAAAGGAATTAAGCTTAAAGAGCTTGCAGATTTTAAAAGCATTTTCAGTATCATATTTCATAGTCTTAATGTTTCAGTCTCAAGACGGTTATCTTCATGTTTGTATCACACTTTCACCTTTCTAAAACGTGTGGGAATTTCAGTTGGGTTCCTCAGGCAAAAAGAAACACTAAACATGGTAATACTTGAGAAACACTAGCCATGGTAATATTTATGGTGGAAACTCTCCGTTGAAGTGATTTGATATACACCATACTGATGCTTATTTCATATGCTTAACCAATGTTAGACTCACAAACGCACAGTTCACGTTACACTAAAGTAGGGACTTGACTTCAAAGCCTACATAACACATGGACGATATTTATTAGCTGTTTGTTTACTGTTCTCTTTTAATTGTTCATGTTCTCACAACTGTTGGTCTCTCTGCCTGGGATACTCATCTGGATGGTGCAAGGTTCCCCCTACTTGGCACCCCAATACTCTTTTGTCAACATTTATCCTTGACGGCAAGGAAAACGACTTTCGTGATTTTTATATTATCAAGCCCTAGCTCGCTGCCTGGCAGCATTGGAGTTTTAGGGACTGAAGATTAAGAAAACAAAACAAAACCCTTTATACCTGAGGTGATAATTGAGAAGGTAACATCTAAGATTAGAAACATTAGGTGTGGACTTCCCTAGTGGCACAGTGGTTAAGAATTCAGGAGACACAGTTTCGAGCCCCGAGTCCAGGAAGACCCCACATGCCACGGATCAACTAAGCCGGTGTACAACTACTGAGCCTGCGCTCTAGAGCCCACGATCCACAACTACTGAAGCCTGCATGCCTAGAGCCTGGGCTCCGCAACAAACCACCGCAGTGAGCAGCCCCTGCTCGCCACAACTAAAGCAAGCCTGCGTGCAGCAACAAGACCCGACGCAGCAAAAATACATAAATTAAAAAAAAAAAGTTAGGTGTTTCTCAACCGTACCACAAGCACAAACAGGTGAAAAACTGCATTTGGGAAAATGCACAAAGCTACAATTTAAAGAGATAAGGCTGAACTGATAACTATGGGATGCCTCCCAGGTAAAGTTCACAATTCTTATTTTAGTAACATACACCAACAGGTGTTTGCCAACTAGCTCTGAAGCCTCACCTTCCATCACTCCAGCTTTCAGCTCTGGCTATATTCAAGTACCTGCAATTTCCTAAAAACATCATATTCTTTCACACCTTAATCACAGCATTCCCTTGCACTTTGTCCTTGCTGGGAATACTCTTCTTTCTTCACAACTCAGCTCAACTGCCACTTTCCCAGAGAAGCTTTCCCTGTTCCATCAGATTAACAGGGTTCCCCTACAGTTCTTTGGCTTGCCTGTCTCCCTACTAAAGTCTGAGTGAAACAGGCTTTTTCAGCTTTGCATCTCCATCTTCCTTGATGCTAGGTCCTCCTGTGTTTGTTTTGTTATTGAATAAGGAAGACAGACCCCATCTTCCATTATGTCCTGAACTCAACATTTGAAAGCCTGAAGGACTCATTCTGCAGACTCTAGATCCAGATTCACAGACTAGTAGGACTTAAACGTTAGGTCAAATAATTAAAACTATTTGCCAGTTAGCCACTCTTGGTGTTACTGTGTCCCCCGCTAGCCAAACCCAGTGAACGCCTGGCCAGAGAGACTACTGGCCCACGGTTTGCACCAAGGTAATGCAAACGCTTCCCCATTGAGCGCCGCCTGAGCCCGACGTATGTCAAGGCCCAAAGCAAATAACGTGTGTATACGGGTCTGGACTTGCACTAAGAGCTCTTCCAACTTCGCAGTTTGGTGAATTACGAGGCCTTGGACTGCGTGGGTGATTGCTCTGGGGCCCAGGCCCGTCTTGCTCAGCATTTCGCACTCGGCGGCTTCCCAGAATCTCAAGGCTAAAAAACTAAGACGGTTAGAGACGCCAAAAGAGGTGAACGAGGCGCCGGCGTGGAAGAGGTGCGGCAAAAGGCTTTGTTCTGAGAGGTTCCTGTTCAGCGCACAGGCCCTGCCCGGGCCCAGTTCCCGAGTCTTCCGCGCTCCCGCAAGCGGCGTCGGCCCCACAGATTTGGGAATCCCTTGCCGACCCCAAATCGCAGCGCTCTTAGGTAATCCCCATTCCCGCTCGAGACTTCTACACTCTCGCACTCGCTGGGTGGAGGAAAGGGCTCCAGAAAGTTCCACAAACGCCAGACCCACGTTTGCGCACAGCCCCTCCCAGCCCGAGAGCCCCCGCGCCGTTGCCCAGGCAACCGCGGGCGGTGGCAGCGGCGGGAAGGGCGGGACTTCCGGCGGATGACGCGCCTGCGCTCGGCTACAAAAGACAACGGCTGCGGCGCTCCAGGCGGAACTTTCCAGAACGCTCGGTGAAAAGGCGGAGGAGCGGCGGCTGCCCGAGCTGCGCACGGCAACGCGCTCCTTCCCGCTCCCCGACACCGGCATCGGCCCTCTCACCGGTGAGCTTCAGCCTTCGGGCTTCACCTCGTCCCACGGCCGGTGCTGTTGGCTGCGCCGGGAAGCCGGATGGAGCCGCGGTCGTGAGGCGGTTGGCTCCGCGTGGGCGGGAGGGTTGTGGATTCCTGTACCCACGATTCTTTTTCTGGAGGGCTGGTGGGGGCACCCCGGCAACCCTCGCCGGCGCGCAGCGAGTAGGCCCGAGACCCTTCCTGGAGCTTTCTCCATGCCCTATCTATCTAGCCAGGGTTCTCCAAGGACCTGCCGCCTCAGTCTTTCCCTTCGCCCGCGCTCGCTGGCGGGCGGGCTGGGGGGTGGGGTGGGGGCGACCCTTTGCGCACGCGCAGAAGGAGCCAGTGGGGCGAGGGGCTGCGGGAGGAGCCGGGCGGAGGCTGCGGCGTTTGCTTCTCGGCTCTGTCCTCCTTCGCTTTGTTGAGTGCTGGGCTTCTCCCACCCCTTTCATCCTGGGTGGGAGGGGAAAGGAAGGAACCCCTAACGGTCGGCCTTGAGTGCAGGGCAAAACCTAACAACGTGTAAACTACGCTGGCTTGTGGGGGCGAAAGAGGTTCGGCGGTCGAAGCAGAGGAGCTGTACGTCCTGTGACTGAGAAACAGCCTCAGGATTGAGGGGGAGGGGAGCTTGCTTTCTGGAGCTGGTGTTCTTAGTTTCATAAAACACTGCCTCCCCGCCTTGTGCCCAGATGTCTTTTCTAGGAAGTGTATGATTTGTCAGATTTACTAAGAATAATGGTAGTGGATTGAACCTCTTAGTGCTCCTCTTCTTTACTGCCCTCTGTCGCTGGTTGGGAAGGGAAACAGGAAAAATCCAGACAATAGTCGCTTTATTATGGGAGCTTTCAGGTGGGAGAGTGGGAACCAGCTGCTATAGGAGGCTTTTGAATTATCCCTTGATAATTATTAACTTATATTTAGTCTTAGAATTGATGGCTAAATTACCAAAGGAATTGTTACCTTCTCTGTGAAATTTAGGGAAGGTGGTGTTCTTACAATCAGGTTTCTCAGAGAACAGATTTCTATGCCTGAATTTTATTAATTAAAACTACCAGTTGGGGCTTCCCTGGTGGCGCAGTGGTTGAGAGTCCGCCTGCCGATGCAGGGGACACGGGTTCGTGCCCCGGTCCGGGAGGATCCCACGTGCCGCGGAGCGGCTGGGCCCGTGAGCCATGGCCGCTGAGCCTGCGCGTCCGGAGCCTGTGCTCCGCAACGGGAGAGGCCACTACAGTGAGAGGCCCGCATACTGCAAAAAAAAAAAAAAAAACTACCAGTTGAAAGTCGGCTAAAATTGAACTTTCTTATTTTAGGCTGTAGGAAATGGTGAAAGAAACCACTTATTATGATGTTTTGGGGGTCAAACCCAATGCCACCCAAGAAGAATTGAAAAAGGCTTACAGGAAACTGGCCTTGAAGTACCACCCTGATAAGAATCCAAATGAAGGAGAGAAGGCAAGTAGTACACTCATAACATAGCTGAATAGTTCTTGCCAGGTGTACGGTATTTCCATTACAACATGAAATTGAGTATGTCTAATGTAGTGGCTGTGCTTTGTAACAGTTGAGTTTTTGAGTGAAATTTATCCCCCCTTTTCTGAAACAGTTTAAACAGATTTCTCAAGCTTATGAAGTGCTCTCTGATGCAAAGAAAAGGGAATTATATGACAAAGGAGGAGAGCAGGCAATTAAAGAAGGTGGAGCAGGTGGCGGTTTTGGCTCCCCCATGGACATCTTCGATATGTTTTTTGGAGGAGGAGGCAGGATGCAGAGAGAAAGGAGAGGTAAGAATGACAGTTCACATGTGGCAAATTAAAATTAGCCGTTGGTCAAAGTAAATTCTTGAGAATTCACCTACTAAATGCTTGTTTACTTGTTAGAATAAGGTTGTAAACTGATTTATGGTAAGAGTTTTTAAGAATGAGATTTGATGAGACTAAAAATAGCTTAGCCAATCGAGTGCTAACAAGTGAGTGCTTCTAAAGCTCTTGGGGTATATAGGATTTCTGTGACCTTATCAAGCATTAAAGGAATGAAGTATAGGAGCATAATTTTCAAAACCCTTTTCACAGATTTTATTCTCAATCTGCACACCCTCACCCCTCAACCTCAATGGGAGGTACAGTGGCCTTACACAGGCAAAAGTGAATTACAGTTCAGAATGGTAAATTTTTGTCAAGGTCATATAATGCTATGCATCAGAGTCTTGATTGGAACACAGGTTCATTGCCTCCAAATAGCATGCTATCTGTTTAATCTTGCTTCAGTTTTATTATATCAAAATATGTGCCCTTAACATTTAATAGAAATGTGGTTTTCTGGGCTGTGGAAATACTGCTCGTAGAAGTACAGTGTTCTGGTCAGAGTTTATCTTACTTTGTTCCCAGTGTAGTTCATATAAACAAGGACTAATGGGTAGAGCCATTCTAGAAGGAATGGGCAAACCACTAAATTTTCTCTGAGCTTTTTTGGATTCAGAAGGACTGGAAATTGTTTATTCAGATTTTCTTAAAAGGAGAGGGGGGTGTATTTTATTTATTTTTAAGAAATTTACCTTAAAACAATTTTCAGTCAAGGTCAGTTGATTGGCAAACTCTACTGTGTGGCTTAGATAAATGCAAGGTCATTTTTTTAGTGTGATATTGGAGAATATTTGCTTAAATTTAAGAAGCTTTAGTTCTTCCCTATACTGTAAACTCTATAAGGCTAAAGTAAGAAGGGCAGTTTTCAGCATGCCGGAACCAATTACATGGAACAGTATTAGTGATGCAGAACAGAAAAGTGGATCTAGGAACAGGTTATAGTTGATGGCACTTCATGCTTGATTGGTAACTAAAGATGTTCATTAGACATGTTCTGCAGATAGGAAGTTCAAGAGCTTCTTTCACTTAAGCGTAAGGCAGTATTTCATGGTAGATTAAGTCCTGGGAGAATCACTAGCTAGGAACTTATTACCTATCAGCAGGTGACTACATTTCTGTAACCTCTGTTCTTAGATGATCTCCACCTTCCACTTCCCATTCCTAGCTAGATGAGATAGGTCAGTCTTTTGTAGCCACTGGCCACATCAAATTTAGATTACTGCAAAGAAAAATAAAAATTTAGTTACTTAGTCTGCAGTAGCCATAATTATATGCTCAATAGCCATGTGTGACTGCTGGCTGTTGTGTTAGCTAGCACAAGATACAAAACATCTCCATCACTGCAGAAAGTTCTGTTGGACAGCACTATGGTAAAGGATGAGAAATCTAGCCTTTTTTGGGGGGAGGCTGTGTTGGATCTTTGTTGCTGTACGTGCAGGCTTTCTCTAGTTGCAGTGAGCGGGGGCTACTCATCGTTGTGGTGTGCAGCCTTCTCATTGTGGTGGCTTCTCTTGTTGTGGTGTGCGGGCTCAGTAGTTGTGGCTCACGGGCTCTAGAGCGCAGGCTCAATAGTTGTGACCCACGGGCTTAGTCGCTCCGCGACATGTGGGATCTTCCTGGACGAGGGCTCGAACCTGTGTCCCCTGCATTGGTGGACAGATTCTTAACCACTGTGTCACCAGGGAAGCCCAAGAAATCTAGCCTTTAAACAGTGCTGAATAAATATGTCAGCTTCCCTGGGCAAACTTGATTAGTTTTTGGAATTTAGTGTGCTAAAGAATCTTTGGATGACGTAATTGGTCATGTTACTCAATATAATAAGTGAACGATTCAAAGAATATATTAGGACAGAAAAGCAGTTTGGGTTAATTTACTGTGAAATGTGTCTATTTAAATGAGTTTTCTCAAGTGATTTTTGCAGTTAACATTTTTGATTGCCATAGGATGGCCGTAACTATGTCCTTATACAAATTGCTTAAATCTCACTGGATGTTTCTTATTTGAAATTACACCACAGTTAGAGGATTATGTGTGTACCCTTGTAGGGCTCATCTTTCATTATCCTTTACCGTTTTTATAGTGCAGAACACAAGATTCAGCATCTTAGATTTTTTTTTTTTTTTTTTAGCATCTTAGATTTTTAATGTGCAATGTTTTGTTCTAGGTAAAAATGTTGTGCATCAACTCACAGTAACCTTAGAAGATTTATATAATGGTGCAACAAGAAAACTAGCTCTGCAAAAGAATGTGATTTGTGACAAATGTGAAGGTATGTCTTAACATTCATAATATAATTGAAAATGGAACTGAAGCCATTCTGGATATATAAAACTGACATATTGCACTACCTGATCCTGAAGAGTGCAAGTACGAAAACCACTTGAATCCACCTCCTAGAGAAATATTAGCAAATTATCAGCACTTTTATGTGTGTATTTTGAATGCAGGTGGGACTGATCTAATTTGGTGTCTGTTTTTCTCAATACTGTTCAGAGATGAGTCTTTCCTATCCACTCTAGAATTTCAGAGGCATTCCAGTGGCTTCATAATCTGTAATATGATTTGACAGTATCCTCTTTTGGGGTATCAGCAGCTGTCAAATTATTGGCTGTGAACCTCTAAGGTGTTTTTCTAATAAATACAAGTTATTTGTTGGAAATATGGTATTTTCTAAAGAGAATAAACTCTAAAATGTTCTCATCTCACAGTTAAAGTAGCCTTTTAAGAATTGTGCTTTGGGGGCTTCCCTGGTGGCACAGTGGTTAAGAATCCGCCTGCCAGTGCAGGGGACATGGGTTCAAGCCCTGGTCCGGGAAGATCCCACATGCCACGGAGCAACTAAGCCCGTGTGCCACAACTAATGAGCCCACGAGCCGCAACTACTGAAGCCTGCACGCCTAGAGCCTGTGCTCCACAACAAGAGAAGCCACTGCAATGAGGAGCCCGTGCACCGCAACAAAGATCCAGCTCAGCCATGAATGAATGAATGAGTGAATGAATGAATTGTGCTTTGGGAGCACATGTTTAAAATCCAGAATTCTGAAATGGCTCCTTGCGAAAATAGTCAATGTTTATGGATAAGCTGATTGTGGTGATATTTTTTTTTTTTTTTTTTTTTTTTTTTTTTTTTTTGCGGTACGCGGGCCTCTCACTGTTGTGGCGTCTCCCGTTGCAGAGCACAGG